AAAAATTTGAAAAAAAAAAGATAACGGGTCAGCAAGGGCATTTTTAGGCGCACACCCCCCTCAAAGTTAGTATATATTGGCGCCTCCTTTTTTAGCAAAATTGGAGGGTCAGTAAGCCAAAATGTAGTATATCAAAATAGTGAGGGGACCTCAAAATAGTTGGGGATCTCAAAAAAGTGTGAAAAAGGGGGACCTTTTGGGTCGACAGGGGTCTACTGTAATTTCCTACATATAGCTTATAGCCACCAGCGGATTTAGGGTGAGTGCCGGGGGGCCGACAACCCCCCCCCCCCCCCCCCTCTTTCCTAAATCCGCTGGTGGCTAAAAGTACAAAAACACAACATTACAGTTTCTTTTAGTTCGGTAACCAACTGAAAAGCACACAAAACAGTACAAAATTGAAACGATGACGTTTGTTGAATAATAATGGACTATAATCCATTATAATGGGTTACAATTCAATAAATTTGAGAAGTAGACTAGCAAAATATAATCCATTAAAATCGCTTATAATCGCTTATAATCGATTCTATTTGTAATCTATGGATACTGACAATAAAAATTCTTTACAATCTGCTATTTTCCTTTTTTACTGAGTGCGGGTCATTAAAAATCAATTGAAAAATTTGAGTTGTTTTCTAACAAAATGGGGATCCTTGAAGGATTTTGCAATCACCATAACTCAATCAAAAATTATTCCAAATCATTGATAGCAGAAAAATACTGTTGATTCAAATTAACCGGAAAAAAAAACAAATTTTGAAAATACAAACGCGTTTTTCTCAAATTGGGTGAAAATTAAACAAAAAATGATGAGAACAAAAAAAAACATAGAGTTTCAACAGAATTAAAATAGTGCAGTTTTTTTTGACTTTCTCAACCAAAATTATGCCACAAAATGGGGTCATTTTAGATTTTTTCAATTATTCACGACTCACGCTGAAACTACTTCAGAATTGATGAGAAATATATATCACAAGAAGCCTCTTGCTTGGCCCAAAATAGTTCTAAAAGGGTGTAATCTCCAAAAATTTGCATAAATTGTTCAACATTAGTTTTTAAGCAGCGATGTTGGGCTTTACATAATAAAATCACATTTCTTGACTGACACATTTCTTGGCAAAAATAATTTTTATCTTATAAAGATTTTTGGAGATTTAACCCATCTAGAACTTTGCTGGGCTGTGTAAGAGGCTTCTGGTGATATAATTTTTTCATCTATTAACGAAGTAAATTCAGCGTACTTCTTGATTAATTAAAAAAAGTCAAAATGACCCATTATTGATAAAAATTTTGATTGAGAGTTTCGGAGAAAAAAGTGCACGTTATTGATTCTAGTGAAATTCTAAGCAACTTGTGTTCTCGTAACTTTTTGTCTAATCTTAACCCCCAGTTTGAGGAAAACGCGTTTGAATGTTCAATTTTTTCTTTTTGTGCAGTTAATTTAAATCAGCACTGTAGTTTGATTAAAGAAGATTCAAAAACTATTTCAGCCAGCAGTTTTCTTAAATAAAATGGATGGGACCTAACTTTGATCTGAAAACAGACTTTATAATCCGGTTAACTGAAGTGATGGGTAATAAATTGATGTAGCAGTCAGCAGCTTATGAAAAATCCGGCCATTAAATAAATTAAGAAATAATTTTACGGAAATAAAAAATGTAAAGTTAAAAACAATCCTTTTAGGGCATTTTAGATTAGATATATAGTTTGATTTTCAAAAAAAATAGATGGAAAATGAATTCGCCACTGAGAATTGCTACCCAATAATTTGATCACTCTAAACTTAATAAGGTGCGTACCAAAAACTACAGGTCGAATTTATTGTTTTGTTGGAGGAATTATAGTGTGTTCCGCTCTGTTTATAAATCAAAAGCTACGAAAAAGCGTTCAGAAAATTGAGAAAAATTTTCACTGCCGCTTTTTGAGCTCCCGTTAAAGGGAAGCATGTTCAAAACTTTTAAAGTTTTATGCATCGCTTTAGAATTTCTACACCTCGGTAAAAATTAAATCTAACGATCTCACATAAAAAATAGAGTTTTTTTATAATGTTTAAAATATTCTAGTCTTTGATTATTTTTTGTGCAATAGTTTGGCACTAGTACGGATATTGTTTGAAAATAAATAAAAACATTTAGATTTGTTGGATGACATCACTACTTTGAACCAACAGAAATTGAGACGAAAACTTTAGTTCCAAGAAAGGTTGAAAAATTGAGTTAAAAAATCATTTGTTGATTCAGGGTTTCTAAAAAGTTGCTGTATTGAAAAAACAATCGAAAAATGCCAAAACAATTGCAAAATCATCTTAAAAGTCTGCTCGTATTACGGTGGAGTTGTTAGTTTTGACTGCCTTTTAGGGCCTACTTAATTATAATTTTCTAAAGTTTGAAATTGTCTCGCACACTCAATTTTATGTATAAATTGAGGTTTAATAATTAGTAGGAAAATAATTGATGTAATAAGATGCTTCAATTTATTTATTGTCTATTTACTTCAGCGCATAACCAGGGCTTAGGTATAAAACTATTGACCTCTACTTTTTCAAATTTCTTTTAATCTTAGGAAAAAAATTCAATGCTGCTTTCATTTCAACGTTTTCGACATTTTGTAAAGCTCTGTAAGAAATCGGCACCTCGGTAAAAAAATATATCTAATGTCACAAGCAAAATTCAATTTTTTTGTGTTGCTAGAGGATTTCTAGTTCTTGATTGTATGTTTTTTTGATATAGTTTGACACTTATACGGATACTGTTTAAAAATAAGTAAAAATCAAATCGAGTGTTTTTTACTTATTTACTTTTTTTTCAACAAAAATGAAGACGAAGACTTAAGTTCCACAAATAAATGAAAAAATGAGAAAATCATTGTTAAACTTTATTTATCGTTTCTAAGAAAGTACATTTTTGATAAAACAAAAAGTAAAAAACAAAAAAAAATGCGAAAAGTCTTCAAAAATGGATCGTATTAATGTGAAGTTGTTAGTTTTGACTGCCTTCTAGGGTATCTATCTAATTTCAAAAATTTGTGCATTTTTCAGTAAATGAATGAAAGAAAAAAATTTAGAACATTTTTACTTTTTGAAGTAAAAATTTTTACGAATCAGTTACAAAATAATTGATTTAATAAGGTTGCTTCAATCCACTTTTTTTAAAAAATTTAGCGCATTAGCAGAGCTTAAATTTAAAACAATTTTTATTTATACCAAAATTTTCAACAATCTATTACTCATTTCAGAAGTGTTGAATCATTTTTCTTTTAAATTTTGGAACAAAAAACAGAGCCTCTTAAAAGTTTGCCTCAAGGCTCACAAACAGCAGTGAATTTGAAAATTGGCATATGATAAAGAATAGTTCAAATCAAAAATCGAGCAAAACAATAAGATCAGGAAATTCATTTCTAAACACCAGTTTATTTTAGACATCAATTCTTAGGAGAGAAAAATACTTAAGAGTTGTTGTACAAAAAAGCTCATGCTCATTTTGAGTTTGAAGAAATTCATTAAAATTTTTGACATTACAGTATAATTAAGAAGCTATCTTCGTTCTTGTATGAAAAAAAAGTCTTTTTTGAAGTTAATCCAGCAAAATCATGTCGATTTTCAATCAGACGAAAAATATATAAACAAATTTGGTAATGTTTCCCTTCAGGTTGTTTCGATGAGATTCTGAGACATGAAATAGGTTAATAAGTTGGATTAATAATTTCAGTCCAACAATAATAAATTAGTGCAGATTTTCATTCAATTTTTCCCAGCGATAATCAATTCCGAAGCAACTAGCTTAAAATGTTCAGACGAGTCATCACTTCGCGAGGCAAAAAAGTCGGAATAAATGCATCGATAGCCAGTTTTCAAAAAAAAACTAGTAAAAACGAGAACGATCAGGTTTTTGCCCTTTTCTATTTTGAAATTAGAGAGAGTTCAAAGATATTCTAAAATATGGAGAACACTGGTTTGTTTAGTGCGCTACCCACAGCAAAAATCAAATTGTTTTTGAAAAATATAAAATTGATTTCAATGGACGCTTTTGCTGTATTTCCAAAGAGTTTTGAAGACGGACTATGGAGACCAACAATGCCGACGCAAAAATTCGAGTGGTAAATTTGTGATTATTGAAACTACCAAAATCGTTCAGCTAGCTGAAACAAAATTGGGCATCATTTGCCAGTTTAGAACACCTTGAAAATTTTATCCAGCGAACTTTAAACGATTCCAAATCACGATTTTATCGCAATGACTTTGTTTAAAAAACTCACCCTACACCATATTTCCTTCCCTGTAGTTTAAGAGTAGTTAGATTGATGCAAAAAATGTCCGTAAACATATGAAAATTAATGTCAAGTTGCCCTTATTCAGCACAATACTAGTCTAAAAAAGTTTTCATTGGAAGAAACATGTTGTCATTCAATTTTTGATACATTCGAATGGAATGCGAAAGAAGTTTTTTTATGTCATGCTATGAAACAGAAGGCGTAGCGCATTGGTCAGTTTGAGCTTAGTTTTTCCATGAATTTTTTTGTTAGGCTTAAAAAAGTTCGCTTCATGATGTTTTCCAAACATTCGCATTAACGATTGGCAAAAACCGTCTTTTGCCTGCCTAAATTGCGACCGACTTTTCATTAAGCCGATAATAGTTTGAACTAGTTCACTTGTCAGAAACTGTTTGAAAAGATTGTAATCAAAACTTTATGGTAGAGCTACCTGGAAAACCATTTCGTGGATTAAACTTTTCGGACTAAAATTTGAAAAGAAGTTTTCGATGATTTGGCCACAATAATAAAGCGTTTAGAAAAATCTGAAGAGTGAAAGATTTCATATGCCTTGGTTGCGATTTTGAGGGATGAATCTTTTGGTAAAAAAAACAAATTTTCAAAAGTTTTAAGACAATATTATGATGTCAGCAAAAAGCTAGGACAGAATTGTGCACTTTTTATTTTACAGCTATTACCCCTAATTATTCAAATCAATTTCAACAAATTAAAGAAAAAACTTAAATACATTCATTCATAATATACTTCAATTAAATTTCCGCATAACTTCAACTTCCAGTACACTTTTTGTTTGTTGCCCATAAGTTTTCTTCGTCGAATAGTTGATACCAGTCTGAAAAGTTACATGAAATTTTTTGTTCAAAAACAATAACGTTGCGACGCTCGTATGAGTTGCAAATAGACAAAAAGAGTGTCCATTTGGCTCCAGTCGATCATTTTAATCTTTTTCTTTGCTTTCGGTTCAAAATTGAAAATTGCATTGATGAATTTGTCGTTTTTTCCTTGGTTTTGCTCGTCTGTTTTGAGTTTTTTGTCAAATTTTCTCAATCTATTTGTAGTTTTTTTTCCTAGTTTTGGCCATTTTTCAGCTGAACTCTGATCTTTTCCAGCTGATGTTGTTGTTTTCAATTTCGATCCATGATAATTGATTGACGTTGGTTTCTTGTCGATTGTGCCAAGTTAAGTTGTTGCTGCGTCGATTTGGGCATTGTTGTGATTTGGATATTTCTGCAGGTTTGGTGTAGTATGGTGAGTAGGGGGTCTGTTTTCGTGAATGGTTCGGATATCCGTGAGGTGGCGATAGGCGAGATGAAATTTGACTTTAGTAACTGTTTGAGTTGACTTTGTTCAGTTTAGTAAACGTTGTTTGTCGGGTTCGTCAAACTATAAGTGGGATAGCTGCCGTCCTTGATTTAATAATTTTTTACATTCCCATCAGATGTATCATTGATTTATAGATGTTTTTTGTTTCGTATAGCGGTGATGAAGGGGAGGTGGTTTGTGGGCGGTGGGGGGGGGGGGCTAAGTGCGTCTGTTGTTAAGTGGGGGTGGGGTTGTTGTTGGGCACAATGGAGACTGAGCTGTTGCTGTTGTGGATCACGTGATCACTCACACTGCCCAGAAACTTCCGTTTGATCTTGCCCAGTCCTCGTGTTCCGATCACTATGTGGTGGACGCCATTCTGCTTCGCAAATCTGAACGGGAGAGAAATCTTATCACGTGATTGCCTTACTTAATCACGAGATTAGCTCCTTCTTCATCACGTGACATTTATGTAAAAATTTACAGAACATTAGACCCACATAAACATGCAAAATACAGGCAAAAAGTCAATTAATTTTGAACTCGCCTTTAAAAACCGCACAATGCACGCTTAATTTTTGCTAATTTCAAAAAAAACTCAGCAAGCCAGTTTATTTTAGCTAAAATTAAGAAACCATTACAACTACCAGCGTTAAACAGAGTTAATCTTAAAGCGAACAAACTTCAGGTCAACTTATCCAAGAAAAAAAGTCGACACCTCCGAGTTCTAACTTGCGATACTCACTTGCAAATGGCACTGCCCGGACTGTTGTCGTTGAGGCTGACGAATTGGCAGGTGCTGGGGTCACACTCGTAGTCCAGAAGGATGCCAGAGTAGCTCTCCTTCAACTCCGTGATGTACACGTCATCGTTCCCTGGAAAAAGAAACGTATCCATCAAATGTATGGTTATCGTGAACATCGCTCAGAATATGCACGCTGAATTTTTAGGAATGGGGCTCGCGCCAAAAAATGCAATGTTTTTTTTTTTCAAATCCTACAACTGAACTTAAAACATTCCAAACTGTTTTGAAGTCTCCCCCCTGAAACAACTATAGTGGAGATCAGTGGAGAATTTTTCAGCCGATCAGATTTGAGCATGGTACATGCCCGCCTTACGGCTTGAGTTTGCCATATAACTTAAGGGGGAGAATTTACACTTGGTATATTTAGGGTAGAGATTGTTCACATGGACCGAAAACTGAAATAACTTGAAACTAACGTTTTCCGAACTGAATCCCAACTAAGCAACCGGGTTTGATTTATGGTTCTTTTCTGAAAACTGAAAATGAAGTAAAGAACAATCTTAACCCTTTAAACCTAATTCTTTCCCGTATACGGATGTGGTTAGACTAAAAATAAAGGAACTAATGAAACTCGAGATCAACACCAAGGAAATTTAAGAAGTACTCTTTGGTTTAATCTTTAAATCTCATATTTCTCACAGGCTTGTAATCCGACCTTAAGTCGACTTTGTCACGACTGAAACCCTAATTTGTCCGTCATAATTCCTTCCTAACTTCAGAACAGAACAGAGCTTAAAAACAAAGGAGACATTTATGAATAAATAAACCGAGAAAAATATTTGATACATCCTGAAATTACAAAAAGTGTTGTTCACCCGGATTGAACTCCATAGGCCGTAAATGCTAATCACACACTTCAATAAACTAAGACTATCGAAAAAAAACTAAACACAAGTTTCGAAAGTTTTGCTACACTGGTAACATCGAATTTTCTAAGTCATGAAAATCGGTGTATCGCAATAGAAAATTTGTCAAAAAAGCTAATCATACAGTTTTCATATATGGCATTTGTTTGACTAACTTTCTTTTGGTGATGACAACAGAAACTTTTCTAGCGAGTTTCCACAGTAGTTTCGAAAAGTCCTCAAAACTTTTTTTGCCTTCTTTTTATTTGCAAAAAGAATTTTCTACTGAAGCATTTTCCAGTATGCATGCAAAATTAAATTTCTTATGTGCATAACATAGTCCTGGATACGCAAAAGTTAGATTTTTTCCATTTGCCTGTTTCTTTTTTTCAAATACGCTCAAAATGCCTATTTTTTGTATGGCATGTTTATGTTTCCCTTGATCATTACCTGCTCAATCAAAAACTCGAATTTAGAAAAACAAAAGTTTGATACTTCCATTATAACATATGTGTAAGACAACTCTAATACATTTCAAGTCGTTTCAAATGCATTGTAAGTGCAAGACGGTCAAACCTTTGGTCACTCTAACTTTGAATAAGCTAAGGTCATTGTCATTTGTGTTTTGTAATTGAAAAAATTAGATAGAGATATTCAAAATATCAAAAATCAATAATCGTATCCCTGTACATCGAATTTCATGAATAGTGTACGATTAGTGTTTTTACATTTTCATATTTGGTCAACCCGGGCAAATTTCACGTAACAACTCTGTAATTTCAAATGCTGAACCAAAGCTAAAACTCCAGCGCAGTTCCTCATTCACAAGTAGGTGGACTTAATTTTAAGAAACTTGATAACAGATTTAGGCCGAAATAAAAATTACGCCGAATAAAAAGTTTACCGAAACAAAAAAAATGTGATTTGAAACCTTTTTTTCCTTAATTAAATAAGAAGTACATTACTTTAGGCTAAGATGCAAAACTATTGCAATGAAGATTGATAAAACCCTATCAATTTTTGAATTTCATTTACATAGATGAGCGCCAGCAAACACTAAATGAAAAAAGCTTGAGTGTTCGAGACAATAAACACTCGCTCATTTATCAATTAAAATAGATATGATATTTAAACAAGAGAACATTGGAAACTTAATTTAGTCAACCATTTTTTTACTAAATATAAGCATGGCGCACTCTAGCAAAAAAAAATTATTTCTAATTTCCATTGTTTATTATTGTTTTTAATGATAATCACCCGACTGTGAGGTGACGATGTTGTCGAAGCTGTTCTGGGGCACATCAACGGGGGCGTCCACCGGGAGAGACATTCCCCCCACCCCTCTCGAGGTCACTTGCAACAGCACCACTGTGTCATCCGGCTTCCGCAGGTTGTCTGAGAAAGAGAATATAATTACAAGTTCTTGGATAAATATAATGGATTAATTATTGATATATTTAATTATTTTTCTTGAGCGTTATATTGAGATAATTTGATCTCTCACTTTCAGCTTGTGTAACTATTTAAGACTTTGAGCATTAGTGCAACAAAATAAAGTCATGTCTGGACTTTTTCGAGAGGCCAACTTTATATATCGAAGATTTCATTAAGCGCCAAAAAACCAACTATACAAAAAAAACATACAAATTTTTTTGAAAATATAGAATTTGTTTTTGGACTCCATATGTCGCTGAGATGAGAGGGGGCGTTTGGTGGGATAAGTTTAAGAAATCTAGGGTCTGTACAGTTATTTGGCCCATTAGCATCAAATAATTAGATGAGCTTGTTATTCTTTTAATATAAAAACATTTTTTTTCGCAGAAATTAGTTTCAACCAATCACACTCCAGCATTATGATCTTCTTTTGAAACAGAAAAGAATCCCAAATAAGATTTAAAACATTGGGTGAACTCTATCATTCGTTGCACGTTGGAAAATCAGACAGAAAAAATTAAAAAGAGCAATCGGCCAACTTTGAGCATTTTTTGCATGCAAGTTTGGGTTTTTAAGTGACCTTGAGTAATAATTAATCGATGTCTGAAAATTAGCTTTTGTTTGCAAAATGTTTCTGAAATAGGTCATTTGCTCTTTTCAATTATTTCTGCTTGTTGCAACTTTTTGCAACTCTCTTTTAAACTCACTGAGGTACCACTCTAGGGCGTTCACACTGCAGTCGGATCCATCTATACACACGACTATCTTCCTCTTCACGCCACTAATGGAGCCACTGATAGAACCAGAGCCACTAGTTCCAGCCATGAGTACTGTGTCACTTATTCACTCTTCTCGATTCAGTGAGATTTGAAGTTAATCTGAACAAAAAATCTACTTAATCTACTTAACAAATTCAACCCCCTCCCCCTCCTTTTTTGAAAGGAGGTGGGGGTTAATTAGAAAATAGAACCAAAAATCAAATAATTAACAAGGTAAAATTTTCGCATATGCTTAACTGTTCAATTCTTTTTTTATAGGGCGGGGGGGGGGGGGTAGTTAACAAGATCCGATAACTGGATACCGATCAAAACTTGTAAATCAACATAGAGGGAAAACTTGCTGTTGCTGTACAGACTGCCATCAGCTACTATAACAAAACTTTATCGAAACCTAGTTGGATCAATGGGTTACAGAATCTCTAACTATTGTTTTTTTAAAACTTATGTAATAACTCAGTTCTACCGGCCTTACTTGGAGGAGAACCAACACTGCTAGATTATTTGACAAAAGTTTGAACACCTTACCTGCTCCACGAAAAACCAGTAATCCAAGTCTAGAAATTATACTGTTTTTGAGCCTTGAAGCTCAGAAAAAAATTGAAGTTTTAATGGCACTTTTTAAGTTCCAAAATGATTTCTCGGAAATCTAGAAGCTTGTTGAGAGAAACGGAGTTTTTCGTAAAAAAACTCAACAATATAGAGAGTTGCAAAAAGATGGAACAGAACAGACTTTAAAAAAAGCAAATCACTACTTTAAGAGAAGTTTTTTATGCAAATAGTTTTTAGACAGAAAATATGACTCAAGGTCACCTAAAAACTCACATTTGCATTCTCAAAGTCGGAAGATGCTCTTTTTAATCATTTCTGTCTGTTCCAACTTTTTGCCATTGATTATATATAGAGAGAGAAGCACAAAAATTCGGACAGACAGTAAAAAACAAAAAGAGCAGTCTGTCAATTTTGAGCAATTTTTACATAAAAATTTGACTTTTTAGGTGACGAGACATATTTTTATCTCAAAAATTAGCTTTTGCATGCAAAATTGTCTGAAAAAGGTAATCTGCCCTTTTTAATTATTTTTGTCTGTCCGAACTTTTTGCTACTAATTATAATTAGTAGCGAAAAGTTCGCTACTAGTAGCGAAAAGTTCTTAATTAGTAGCGAAAAGTTTTTGCTACTAATTATAATTAGTAGCGAAAAGTTATAATTATAATTATACTAATTATAATTAGTAGCGAAAAGTTCGAAAAAGCAGATGACCTTTTCAGACAACTTTTGTATGCAAAAGCTTTTTTTTTCAGACAGAAGCGAAATTTGACTTTTTAGGTGACGAGACATATTTTTATCTCAAAAATTAGCTTTTGCATGCAAAATTGTCTGAAAAAGGTAATCTGCTCTTTTTAATTATTTTTGTCTGTCCGAACTTTTTGCTACTAATTATAATTAGTAGCGAAAAGTAGCGAAAAAGCAGATGACCTTTTCAGACAACTTTTGTCATAATTGACATTTTCAAAATTGTCAATTTTGAGCAATTTTTACATAAAAATTTGACTTTTTAGGTGACGAGACATATTTTTATCTCAAAAATTAGCTTTTGCATGCAAAATTGTCTGAAAAAGATAATCTGCTCTTTTTAATTATTTTTGTCTGTCCGAACTTTTTGCTACTAATTATAATTAGTAGCGAAAAGTTATAATTATAATTATACTAATTATAATTAGTAGCGAAAAGTTCGAAAAAGCAGATGACCTTTTCAGACAACTTTTGTATGCAAAAGCTTTTTTTTTCAGACAGAAGCGAAATTTGACTTTTTAGGTGACGAGACATATTTTTATCTCAAAAATTAGCTTTTGCATGCAAAATTGTCTGAAAAAGGTAATCTGCTCTTTTTAATTATTTTTGTCTGTCCGAACTTTTTGCTACTAATTATAATTAGTAGCGAAAAGTAGCGAAAAAGCAGATGACCTTTTCAGACAACTTTTGTATGCAAAAGCTTTTTTTTTCAGACAGAAAGTATGTCTCGATGTCACCTAAAAATGTCACCTAAAAAGCTCATTTGCTTTTTTTTTCAGACAGCTTTTTTTTCAGACAGAAAGTAAAATTGTCTGAAAAAGGTAATCTGCTCTTTTTAATTATTTTTGTCTGTCCGAACTTTTTGCTACTAAATTGTCTGAAAAAGGTAATCTGCTCTTTTTAATTATTTTTGTCTGTCCGAACTTTTTGCTACTAATTATAATTAGTAGCGAAAAGTTATAATTATAATTATACTAATTATAATTAGTAGCGAAAATTGTCTGAAAAAGGTGACGAGACATATTTTTATCTCAAAAATTAGCTTTTGCATGCAAAATTGTCTGAAAAAGGTAATCTGCTCTTTTTAATTATTTTTGTCTGTCCGAACTTTTTGCTACTAATTATAATTAGTAGCGAAAAGTAGCGAAAAAGCAGATGACCTTTTCAGACAACTTTTGTATGCAAAAGCTTTTTTTTTCAGACAGAAAGTATGTCTCGATGTCACCTAAAAATGTCACCTAAAAAGCTCATTTGCTTTTTTTTTCAGACAGCTTTTTTTTCAGACAGAAAGTAAAATTGTCTGAAAAAGGTAATCTGCTCTTTTTAATTATTTTTGTCTGTCCGAACTTTTTGCTACTAATTATAATTAGTAGCGAAAAGTTATAATTATAATTATACTAATTATAATTAGTAGCGAAAATTGTCTGAAAAAGGTAATCTGCTCTTTTTAATTATTTTTGTCTGTCCGAACTTTTTGCTACTAATTATAATTAGTAGCGAAAAGTAGCGAAAAAGCAGATGAATTTTTGCTACTAATTATAATTAGTAGCGAAAAGTTCGAAAAAGCAGATGACCTTTTCAGACAACTTTTGTATGCAAAAGCTTTTTTTTTCAGACAGAAGCGAAATTTGACTTTTTAGGTGACGAGACATATTTTTATCTCAAAAATTAGCTTTTGCATGCAAAATTGTCTGAAAAAGGTAATCTGCTCTTTTTAATTATTTTTGTCTGTCCGAACTTTTTGCTACTAATTATAATTAGTAGCGAAAAGTAGCGAAAAAGCAGATGACCTTTTCAGACAACTTTTGTAAGCAAAAGCTTTTTTTTTCAGACAGAAAGTAAAATTGTCTGAAAAAGGTAATCTGCTCTTTTTAATTATTTTTGTCTGTCCGAACTTTTTGCTACTAATTATAATTAGTAGCGAAAAGTTATAATTATAATTATACTAATTATAATTAGTAGCGAAAATTGTCTGAAAAAGGTAATCTGCTCTTTTTAATTATTTTTGTCTGTCCGAACTTTTTGCTACTAATTATAATTAGTAGCGAAAAGTAGCGAAAAAGCAGATGACCTTTTCAGACAACTTTTGTATGCAAAAGCTTTTTTTTCAGACAGAAATTTCAGACAGCAAAAACTTTTTGCTACTAATTATAATTAGTAGCGAAAAGTAGCGAAAAAGTAGCGAAAAATTTGAATTACCTTATTAGAATTACCTTATCAAAAATTAGCTTTTGCTAATTTTGAGTAAAAAACAAAAAGAGCAGTCTGTCAATTTTGAGCAATTTTTACATAAAAATTTGACTTTTTAGGTGACGAGACATATTTTTATCTCAAAAATTAGCTTTTGCATGCAAAATTGTCTGAAAAAGGTAATCTGCTCTTTTTAATTATTTTTGTCTGTCCGAACTTTTTGCTACTAATTATAATTAGTAGCGAAAAGTTATAATTATATTTATACTAATTATAATTAGTAGCGAAAATTGTCTGAAAAAGGTAATCTTGCTACTAGCAAGATTACCTTTTTTGAATTACCTTATCAAAAATTAGCTTTTGCATGCAAAATTGTCTGAAAAAGGTAATCTGCTCTTTTTAATTATTTTTGTCTGTCCGAACTTTTTGCTACTAATTATAATTAGTAGCGAAAAGTAGCGAAAAAGCAGATGACCTTTTCAGACAACTTTTGTATGCAAAAGCTTTTTTTTTCAGACAGTCGGAAGATGCTCTTTTTAATCATTTCCGTCTGTTCCAACTTTTTGCCATTGATTATATATAGAGAGAGAAGCACAAAAATTCGGACAGACAGTAAAAAACAAAAAGAGCAGTCTGTCAATTTTGAGCAATTTTTACATAAAAATTTGACTTTTTAGGTGACGAGACATATTTTTATCTCAAAAATTAGCTTTTGCATGCAAAATTGTCTGAAAAAGGTAATCTGCTCTTTTTAATTATTTTTGTCTGTCCGAACTTTTTGCTACTAATTATAATTAGTAGCGAAAAGTAGCGAAAAAGCAGATGACCTTTTCAGACAACTTTTGTATGCAAAAGCTTTTTTTTTCAGACAGAAAGTATGTCTCGATGTCACCTAAAAATGTCACCTAAAAAGCTCATTTGCTCTTTTCAAGTATTTTTCTTTTTTTTTGAATTACCTTATTATAATTAGTAGCGAAAAGTTATAATTATAATTATACTAATTATAATTAGTAGCGAAAATTGTCTGAAAAAGGTAATCTGCTCTTTTTAATTATTTTTGTCTGTCCGAACTTTTTGCTACTAATTATAATTAGTAGCGAAAAGTAGCGAAAAAGCAGATGACCTTTTCAGACAACTTTTGTATGCAAAAGCTTTTTTTTTCAGACAGTCGGAAGATGCTCTTTTTAATCATTTCTGTCTGTTCCAACTTTTTGCCATTGATTATATATAGAGAGAGAAGCACAAAAATTCGGACAGACAGTAAAAAACAAAAAGAGCAGTCTGTCAATTTTGAGCATTTTTTACATAAAAATTTGACTTTTTAGGTGACGAGACATATTTTTATCTCAAAAATTAGCTTTTGCATGCAAAATTGTCTGAAAAAGGTAATCTGCTCTTTTTAATTATTTTTGTCTGTCCGAACTTTTTGCTACTAATTATAATTAGTAGCGAAAAGTTATAATTATAATTATACTAATTATAATTAGTAGCGAAAATTGTCTGAAAAAGGTAATCTGCTCTTTTTAATTATTTTTGTCTGTCCGAACTTTTTGCTACTAATTATAATTAGTAGCGAAAAGTAGCGAAAAAGCAGATGACCTTTTCAGACAACTTTT